TGCAGCTGTAGAGCCAGGATCTTCTGCGGTAGGTTCAGGTCCGGTCATGGAACCCTCGAACATGGAACCCTCTGCAGACTGGGGACCTTCAGGCTGAGGCGTGGAAACCTCAGGGGCTGCAGCAGGCTTGAGACCCTCTGGAGGCTTGGGGCCCAGGAGAGGTTTGGGGCACAGGAGAGGCTTGGGGCCCACTGGAGGCTTGGGGCGATACGAGGTGTCAGGACCCACCATTATTGAGATCCCAATAGATGGGGTGTCAGAACCAGTCCCCACAGAGGCACAGGAAGATGGTGCATTGGGACCAGCCCCCACCGAAGCATAAGAAGGAGGTGGGGCGTCGGGTCCTACCTCCACTGAAGCACTAGAGAATTGGGCATCGGGACCAGCCCCCACCAAAGCATAGGAAGGAGGTGGGGCGTTGGGTACCAGGACTACAGGTGGAGAACCAGGAACGGGGACCAGAGACGGGGCTGCAGCTAGAGAACCAGGGACCAGAGACTAGGGATGCACCGATCCACTTTTTTAAACTTCCGATCCAATCCCGATACCTAAGTCTGAATATCGGCCGATACCGATCCAGTTCCGATATCATCATCATTGATTTGATATGAGGCTGTAATAATTTCCTCTCAAGTACAATTTGTCCAAATATATGCATGCATGTCCAAAAAGGCAACTTGAGGTAAGATTTATTAATTTTGGATAAGTTTTAAAGTTAGAATTAAATTATGCTAACACAAAACATGTTTCTGTTTACTCCTAGCTTTAAAGTGGATATTAAAGTGATTAATTTTAAGTGATTGTTTAAAGTTATTTTATATATTTTTAAATAAGGGGCAGATATAATATTTTTTTTCTTCTTTCTACACTCTTTTCATTCAATGTTTTCTTTTTCATGATTTTTTTTTTATTTTTAATTTTATTTAAAATGAATGAATTAAATTAAATAAAATGTTAAATGGCTTCAAGCACCTGCTAAGTTCATGGCATAAACCAACAGACATGTTCCCGTTTTTAGTATTTTACATCACTTTATAATGTAGCTGTTTTTGTTTTTAATATAATTTTCAAATCATATGTTTTTTTATGATTGTTTACTGTTGTACTGATAAATATCTCATGAAGGGTAAACTATATCTTGGATGCAAGTATCAAGCTGTGAAATCCTTCATTTTCTACAACTGATAGTGGTTGGTCATGAATCATGATGAAGTTTAGCAACTTCTCAGTAAACATTTGAGCTCCATGGTTTCAGCTATGTCTTCTTCTTATTCAATCCGAAGCAAGCAGCCTGATTTGGGGTAGCCGCGCTCAGTCTGTCCCTCCTCAGAGACGGGCAGACTGAGCAGGGCAGATTGGACACGGCTGGCCGGGGTCGAGTCGCCTCTATCTGGTTGAGCAAAGAGCAGTGCCCCGCTGAAGCCACGGAGCTCGAATGTCCAACGTAAAACTAACTTTACCATGGTTTAATGTGGTGCTATGGCTCTGCAGACATTGCACAATGCTGTCTTGTTTTGTGGTGTTTCTAGTGTAAAATACTTCCACACAGCAGACATGTTTAGATGAAAAGTTTGTTAGCTGTTAGCCACAGTGCTGCTAACTCAGCCCTCACGTTGTAGCTGGCTGCAAACTATGAACTGGATTTCCTGAATGTGAGGCGGGTCTTATTACTCTGGGTTCATGAGACACGCCGCCGTTCAGGAAATCCATTCCATAGTTTGAAGCCAACATGCATCATAGATCGGAGATATTGGCAGGTGGATCGGAAAAATCCAATACGTAAATTATGCTGGTATCGGAGGCTGATACCGATACTGGATCGGCCCCATCCCTACCAGAGGCGGGACTTCAGCTTGAGAACCAGGGACCAGAGAAGGGACTGCAGCTGGGGAGTCAGGGACCGGGGCTGTAGCAGGTGGAGGAGGAGTCAGAGCTGCAGCATCAGGTGGTGGAACCGGGGCTGCCACAGGAGATGGCAATGTGAACCCCTCTGGAAGACTCGAGTGAGGAGCGTCCACCTGGGTCTCCTCGCGGCAGGGCAGAAGCAGAGCTAGATATGTTACTACTATAGAAGCCTGCCACCTTTCCAGCTCCTCCAGCGAAGGAGGGCAGGATTTTTCCTCTGGAAGGAGGGGGCATGGGTTCCTCTCCCCCAGTGAACTCCCCCCTCGCTCCTCTAGCGAGCGAGAGCCGGACCGCTGTTCTCGTAGACACGAGTACCTCCTCCTCAGTGAAATCCTCTGCTGTTCAACCAGCGACCGAGGGCTGGGCTTCCCCCTCGCCTGCGAAGCTCTCTCCTCCCTGTGCTGGATTCAGGGAGGACCAGCAGTTGGGCAGCTGGGTGCAGCAGTGAGATGAGAGCAGATGAGGAGGAGTGAGACGGAGAGGATGAGGACCCAGGTTTAATGGCCAGGCGGGTCCCCCAAAACGGATTCTTAATTCTCTCCTCCCTTTCTCTGTCGTGCTGAGCCGTACTCTCTGCCTCACGAGCCAAAAACTCAAACAAAGTAATCATTCTCCTGCTGGGTTCAGAATGGTCTCGGGAGTCTGTCATGTTCTGCCATCAGGAGTGTTGAACCCAATTGCAGGAGGATGACAGGAGGCTCAATGAAAAGATCAAAAGTATTTATTTTACAAAAACACAAAGCAAAGGCTGACGGGTCAGCTTACTTACATAACAGGACACAGGACGGAAAGGCAGAAACACAACACCATTGAAGGATAATCCCGAGACAAAGACAAGACACCAGTGAACTGAATATATACACACACTGATTAGGACAATGATAGACACCTGCAGTGATTAACATTAGACACAGGTGAGACAGGGGCTGAACACAAGGGAAAACACTGAGTGCTGGAAACAGACAGACAGACAGAACCAAAACCCCACAGTCAGACGCTTTCCCCCTCCTCTCCCTCCTCCACTTTGCTTTGCTGCTCTGCCCTGCCTGTGAAACTGCTTCTGAGCCTCTCTCTACATATCTTTCGAACCATAATTTTGTGGATCTGGTCAGATGGTCTCTCAATGCAATGGACAAAATTTTTTAGACTAGCTTCATGCGAGCTTAACTGCCTGGACGACATTTTCTGCTGTCTATCGAGGACACCAAAACTGCATATAATTTGATTTATGATAACAGGTTTCCTGTTTTTGGAATAGTCTGGTTTCTGGTTTATCAACATACAAAAAAGACGGCCACAGCTAATCTGGCCTGGTCAGGCGGCCACCTATGTGAAGGTTTGTTCCGTGTCTCAAGCACCCAGACTCTACTGCTTAGCGGACTGGATCGCAAGTTGAATGTGATTTGTGAGAATCGCAGGCCATATACTAGGACTCGCTGGCAGGATGGATAAAATCTCGGGGAATATTCTCAGGGACGGATCAGTGGTGTGTCCACTTAATTTGGACCTTTCGGAATCTATGTGAGACCAGCAAAGACTCAAGGCAGATAAAAATTAAAGTTCTGCCTGACTTCAAAAACAAACGTTTATCTGAATTTGGCTCTCTTGGCTGGCCTTGCAGGCCACCTTATCTCGATTCGCCTGGAGGTCATGTCATCTGACGCTCTGCCCCCCCTCCCTCTCATCAAGGAATTCCACTGATCAACCTGAGGAAACCAGCTGAATAAACTTTATCATTTCAGGACTCTTGGATTCTCATTGGCATTGTCCTTGGTGTAGGGGAACACCACCTCAGAAACGGATCACCACCTCAGAAACAGTTCACCTCAGCTTAAACAGAAACAGTTCACCTCATCTCAAATAAACATCATTTATGTGTTTTGCGTTTTGAACTGTTTAAAATAAGATTCATCAATTCCCTTGGGAACAAACAGACTGCTTTACAGGTGTTCAACCCAGCACTAACTTAGTTGACACTAATGTGAATTTATAAAAAAAAAAACTGTTACTGTGTTAATCACTTTCAATATGAACTCATTTCCCACGAAACGGACAGATCGATTTAATGAGAGCTTTTGGTTCAACTGACCTCGAAGCTTAGGAACATCCGAACTCGCTACTTTGATATCTTCCTTTATCAAAGAGGAGTATTACTTCCAGGATGGTTTCCCATGAAGATAACATTTTTAAAGAACCCTTTGATTAAAATGACATTTTATTCTCAGGAGATGAACAGCGACACCTTTTGGATGAACATTGCATGTTATTGTTATAATGTGGAGTTACCCAGGTGAACAGACTGAGAGGAAAACAGAACCAGACTCAAATGTAATTGAAAATGTTTATTTACAGTGATAGAAAATAAACTATTTACAAGCAGGTTCAGGGTCTGTGAAGACAAAGGAGGAGGATTATTCATGGACGAGGATTTGGTCCAACAACTGAATGTTTAGGTTCTTTGGAAAGGCTTACAGTTCAGGTATCTAAAAAAGTTAAATCTGGTCCTCTGGACATTCAAAAAAACAAAACAAAGCAAATCAACAAAAAAATGTAGAAACGTTTCGTCTCTCATCCGAGAGACTTCCTCAGTCTGAGGAGCTGTATTCAGCTCAGTCTCTTAAATAGCACCGTCTCAGGGTGGATCAACCAGTTTTGCTGCTGACAACCAAAACCAGCTGATCACATGCTCAAGAAGGACCATCAGCATAACAATGGATCATTAGCACACTGATGGCTGTTTACTGTTCACAGAGGGCTGAGTGATACTAGCAATCACTAGCAATCTGAATACAGCTCCTCAGACTGAGGAAGTCTCTCGGATGAGAGACGAAATGTTTCTACATTTTTTTGTTGATTTGCTTTGTTTTGTTTTTTTGAATGTCCAGAGGACCAGATTTAACTTTTTTAGATTTTTCTACCTGGATTATTGAGCATGCATCAGGATACAGTTCAGGTAGTTTGAATGGCTGTTGGATGGCTGAGGGTTTTGCTCCTTCCAGATGATGAGAAGGCAGACTACAAGGGCAAGTGGTGGAAGGCGAGTTCAGGCAGCTGAGCACCAGGAAGCATAGGTAAGTATCTCTTCAGGATCTTCCTCAATACTTCGAATTACAGGACAGGATCCGGTACATCCAGACTCTGAAAACGTGGACACAAAACAAGGTAAGTCTTTCTATATCTTTAAGCACTGTACAGGGCTGGAGGCATATGTACCGGCAGGTCAAACAATGCTCCAGCACTGACTGGAGCTCCACTGGAGCCTTAAGTACTCCTGGCATCAATTAAGGAAACTGGCCTCAGCTACAGCTGCTCATCAGCGCCACCCCTGCTTTCAGGAACCTGGAGGAAGGAAAATATCAAAACCCTACAGAACCCCCCTCTCAAGAATCGCCTCCTGGCGATCGCTGGCGCTTTTCAGGGTGATCTCTAAAAAAATTGGTGATAAGACTGGTGTCCAGGATGAAGGATCTGGGGATTCAGGACCGTTCTTCCGGTCCATATCCTTCCCAGTCCACTAAGTACTGGAACCACCTACCCTTGCGTCGTACATCTAGAATACGGCGTACCGAGAATGCAGGATGATTGTCGATGAGACGGAGGGGAGGAGGGAGGTTGGCAGGAGGGCACAGAGGGCTCTCTAGGACAGGTTTAATTTGTGAAACATGGAAGGTTGGATGGATGCGCATTGAAGCAGGAAGACTCAACCTGACAGCAGACGGATTAATGATTCTAACAACAGGAAAAGGACCAATGAATCGAGGGGCCAACTTCTTGGGATAGTCCTTTAAATTAATGTCCCTGGTGGACAACCACACCTTTTGGCCGACTTAGTAGGATGGAGCCTTGGAACGGTGGCGATCTGCCATCCTCTTGGTTGCAGCCACGGTGCGAAGTAACGCTGCCTTGGTTTGACGCCAGATGCGTCTACAGCGTCTGAATTTTTTGTTTGGGTAAAGATGTAAAATGGATGTTGGAATTGATGAAGACAGAATTTGATAAAATACAAACTTGGTTTAAACTTAATAAATTATCATTAAATTTAGATAAAACTAAATACATGATATTTAGTAACAAAAAGAGAACTGTTGATGATCCATTTAAAATTGAGGGTGTTGAGATTTGTAGAGTTAATGAGATGAAATTTTGGGTGTAATCATTGATGAACAGCTAACATGGAAAAATCACATAAATTCTGTAAGAACAAAAATATCTAAATCTATTGCAGTACTATACAAAGTTCTGAATTTTGGTTTGACAAATATCGCTATCCCCTTAAGATTGTAACAACTTTGTCTTTTAACAAAATTTATTTGGATATTTAATGGTAATGTGTTATTTTGAGCCCTATACATAACTGATAAAATACTATAATCTACCAAATCATGGAACTTCAATAACTTCAGTTGATAAAATAATGTGCTTGATGGGTGACAGTAATGCTTTCTGGTGATGATTCTTACAGCTCTTTTCTGTAAAATAAAAATAGGTTTTGTAAATGTTTTACACGCTTTCCCCCAAACATCAATGCAATAGATTAAATGTGGAACAATGATTGTGTTATACAACATGTACAGAGCTTTGTCATTTAATAATTCCCTGACTAGTCTGAAGGGAAGGTCTACCTCAATCCAAGGAGTTGGATTGTGGAATGGTCTAGAGAGTGATGTGAAAAATGCCAAGTCAATGTGTACATTTAAGAAAAAGATCAAAGCTGAATTGTTAAAAAAGTATATATGAAGTAGCTTAGTGTGTGTTTTGTATTAGAATTAGAAATATTAGAAAGTTATTCATTTTGTTCTGTTACTTGAAAGTTATTATGATTGAAATAATTGTTTGAAAAAAGGGGCAGATATAATAAGATTTTTTCTTCTTTCTGCTCCCTTTCATTTTTAAATCTTTTGTATCTTTTTTTTATATTGTTATGGAATTGTTTTGTACTGTTTTAAAATGAATAAACTTTATACCATACCATACCATACCATACCATACCATACTAAATGGTGCTGTACCGATGGTACAGCAACCTCAACTTCCTGGCTAGGGAAGAGAGGGGGTGCATAACCCAGGGAGGCCTCAAATGGAGACAACCCGGTAGCAGAAGAGGTATGCGTGTTGTGGTCATACTCTACCCAGACCAGGTGTTGAGACCATGCAGATGGGTTCTCCTGGATGATGCACCGGAGGGTAGACTCGAACTCCTGGTTGCATCTCTCTCATTGGCCGTTAGACTGGGGATGATAACCAGACATGAGACTAGACGAGGCACCCAAAGAACTACAAAATGCTTTCCAAACCTGAGAAATGAACTGTGGACCCCTGTCGGATACCACGTCCGCAGGAATGCCATGAATACGAAAAACATGTTGTACCAACAACTGGGCTGTCTCTAAGGCGGAGGGTAGCTTGGTCAGGGGAACAAGATGAACAGCCTTAGAGAACCTGTCGATAATAGTGAGGATGACTGTGTGGCCTGCTGATGGAGGTAACCCGGTGACAAAGTCCAAAGAAATGTGAGACCACGGCCGACTAGGAGTAGGGAGGGGCTGAAGCAATCCTGCGGGTGGTTTATGTCCACTTTTGTTTCTGCTGCAGGTCTGACAGGCAAAGACAAATTCTTTAACGTCTTGACTCATAGTGGGCCACCAAAAGTGTCTCTTTATTAGAGCCATCATGCGGTTGGTTCCAGGATGGCAAGAAAATTTGTTGGTGTGAACCCAATCGAGAACGCGGGCCTTCACCGCTGAGGGTACAAACATCCTGTCCTTGGGGCCGGTCTTGGGATCCGGTTCCACCTTTTGAGCCTCCAAGACCTCCTCGGTGATAGGCCATGAGAGTGCACTGACCACACAGGACGAAGGGATGATGCTGACCTCCCTCTCACCGTCATCTGATGCTGAGAATTGGTGGGACAAAGCATCTGGTTTGACATTTTTCGATCCGGGTCTGTAGGTGAGAGAGAAGTTAAATCGATTGAAAAATAGGGACCATCTTGCTTGTCTAGGATTCAGACGTTTAGCATTTTGAATGTAAATAAAGTTTTTGTGATCCGTCCATATGAGAAATAGAACATCAGTGCCCTCTAACCAATGTCGCCATTCTTCTAGAGCCATCTTGACGGCCAGGAGTTCTCTATTTCCCACATCATGGTTCTGTTCAGCCGTAGACAAACGTTTAGAAAAAAAAGCACAGGGATGTATTTTATTATCCTCTCTACATCTCTGAGACAGGACAGCTCCCACCCCTGTATCAGAAGCATCCACCTCCAAAATAAACTGTCTCTTGGGGTCAGGGTGGCAGAGGATAGGAGCAGAGGAGAACAGATCCTTGAGTTTGTTGAAGGCTGAATCTGCTTCGGGAGTCCACCTGAAGGTCCGTAGTGTAGAGGTGAGCTGAGTGAGGGGGGCTGCCACCTGACTGTACCCTTTGATGAACCTCCTGTAGAAATTGGCGAATCCCAGGAATCGTTGCAGCTGCTTACGGTTTTCTGGGACGGGCAAATCCACCACTGCCTTAACCTTGTTGGGGTCCGTGCGATATTGTCCTCCTTCAAAAATAAAACCAAGAAATGAGACCGTGGACACGTGGAACTCACACTTTTCAGCCTTCACATAGAGTTGATTTTCGAAAAGTCTTTGTAAAACTGACCTGACATGATGGGTGTGTTGTACCGGGTCAGTGGAGTAAATGAGAATGTCGTCCAAATACACAAAGACAAACTGGTTCAGAAAATCACGGAGAACATCATTAACTAAAGCCTGAAAAACTGCTGGGGCGTTGGTGAGGCCAAATGGCATGACCAGGTATTCAAAATGTCCTAACAGGGTCTTGAAGGCTGTCTTCCACTCGTCTCCTTTTTTTATTCTCACGAGATGATAGGCGTTACGAAGGTTCAGTTTTGTGAAAATAGTGGCTGAATGAAGCTGTTCATAGATAGAGTCGATCAGAGGCAGGGGGAACTTGTTCTTAACAGTAATCTGGTTAAGCCCTCTATAATCAATGCAGGGCCTTAACGTCTTATCCTTCTTAGAAACAAAGAAAAATCTCGCTCCCACAAGGGAAGTAGAGGGGCGAATAATACCGGAATTTAATGACTCTTCTATGTAATTTTTCATAGTCTCTTTCTCTGGGCCTGAAAGGTTAAACAATCTGCTAGAGGGGAGGGGAGCTCCAGGCAGCAGATCAATGGCGCAATCATACGGTCTGTGAGGAGGCAAAGATAGTGCCTGAGATTTACTAAATACCGCTTTTAGATCAAGGTATGTGGAAGGAACATTGGACAAATCAGATTCTTCTGGTATCTCCTCTGTCTTTTTACATGAGGAGGAAATGGCTGACCGTAAGCAATTATTTAAACAGAAAGAGCTCCATCTTTCAATTCTTTTTG